GTGCAGGCAACCTTGAATAGGGGATGGAGGTCACAGAAGTAGTGGTCAATGACATTGGGGCCACAAAAGGGCAATTGGACTATGATAAGGATCTGAACCATGGAGTGAATTATGCCCCCCAGCCAGGAACCAGCCAGAAGGAGGTGACACACAGGCCGGCTCATGATGGTTGTGTAGTGCAGGGGTTTACAGATGGCCACATAGCGGTCATAAGCCATCACTGTGAGCAAGAGAATCTCTGTCACACCGAAGAAGTGGAAGAAGAATATCTGAGCCAAACAGCCCTCCAGGGAGATGGTTTTAATCTTGGTGAGTAAGTCAGTGATGAACTTAGGGGCAATAGTAGAAGAGTAACTGATCTCCACCAGGGACAGGTAGCTAAGGAAGAAGTACATGGGGGAATGCAGACTCTTGCTGACATTGACTGTCAACACGATGAGGCCATTGCCCACCACCGTGGCCAGGTACACTGGAAGAAACACCACAAAGCACACTCTCTGCACCTCTGGATCCTGGAAAAGGCCGGTGATAATAAACTCAGTCACGTTATTTGTACTGATCATGAATCCCATTTGGGTGTGCTGGATGCCAGGGAGTAAGAGGTTTGCAATAAAAGAAACAAAATTTGTAATATTAATTCACCTCATTTATAACATTTTAGCAACAACAACAAAAAGTTGCTATTGAATAAATAAGGAGGCTTGGTGATGCAGTAGTTGAGTGCTCAGCTGCTTACAGTAAGGTTGATGGTTCGAAACCCACCATCTACTCTGTTGAGAAACATGTGGCAGTCTGCTCCTGCAAAGTTTTACAACCTTAGAAACCCTATGGGGTGTTCTGCTCAGTCCTGTAGGGTCACTATGAGTTGGAATTGACTCCACAGCAATGTGTTTGAGGGTTTTTTGTTGGGTTTTCTTAGTTGAGTCAATTCCAACTTCATGTGTGCCAGAGAAGAACTGGGCTCCACAGGGTTTTCAACAGCTGCTTTGTTAGAAGTAGATCACCAGGTCTTTCTTCCAAGGTACCTCTGGGTAGATTCAAGCTGCCAATCTTTCTGTTAGCAGCCAAAAGTGTTAATCATTTGCACCACCGTGGGACTCCATTGTTGTCTTAGAGGAAAATGTTCTTTTTATTACCCAATTATTAGAGAATGTGGAACAATTCATGTACCTAGAAAATGCTCATTCAGCATTGAATATTAATAACCTAACAATAGTGTACAGATTAGAAAATTAAGAGAAATGGTTATTACCAAGATCACACAGAGTGGTGAATTTATGAGACTCAGAATAGGCTTTCTGACTATCAATCCAGGGTTCTTTCTAATACACCACAGTAAATTCTGAATTTGAGGAATTTTCAACTTAATAGCCTATATTTTTATTGCCTCATTGCATTTTGATAGCTCTCTCCAATGGGGGAATCCCCATTGCAGATTTCTGTTCCTAGATCCTTTGTTTCCTTCACTTACACCTCAGGGAATTGTCTTCCCAGTGATAATTCTCCCTTTCTGAGAAGGCTTCTGTACTTTCTTCTTTACTCAGTTACCCCAGTCTTCAAGTTACTCTTTCATCCCCTTCATCGGTCTTTTGATGTCCATAACTGTATTCATGTGACAAATACTGAAACACTCTGGGAAGAATTCAAGTTACTAGCGTGTCTCCATTATTCCACTATTATTTCACTGTTGCCATCACTGTGCTATGAGATACTGAGCAGATGCATCTCGTTTGCAGAGAAGGTTGCCATGGCTGGCCAGCCTGCCTGTTGTGGTTCCAGGTAACCAGCAGAAGAGTGTATAGTAACAAGAGTAAGTGTTGCTCTGTGTTTCTTCACCACAACAAATACTCACTGAGAATGCCTAATATACCTAAACAACCCAACCATATACAGGAAAAATATAGACTGCAAAACACACCTCAAGTTACCAATATCATGTAATTCAAAACAATAACCTATAGAATAAAAAATAAGGTCCCACATTAGGAATTTTCTCACCACATATGATCCATGAGAATACAGAAGAAACAATACAAACACTTTGTTTGTCTTCTATCATTTTTATCCCCATTGTTTTTCATCTTATCTCTGATTTTATACTGAATTCCCAAGAAATATTGTAATATTGAGGAACTAACAATGCACTCTGAACAGCAAAGAGGAAAATCGACATAGAAAACAAAAGTCTTGGATGTGGACAGATGGAAACAAAGCATAAACACAGTTGTTACACAAATGACATAATGGGAAAAGTACTTAAAACATTTATGACAGAGGCTTAATAACCCCCATATAAAAAAAGATCTTCTAAGTCTGTAAAAATTGTATATAGAAAATGAGCAGAGGACGCAAACAGACAATTCACAAAAAATAAATAAAAAGATCAGTAAACATTGGAAAGGACCTTGTTGTTGCTGTTATATTGTTAGCTGCCATCCGTTCAATAGCACCTCAGGTAGAACCCATGTGTATCACAGTACACCTGTGCTCTCCAGGGTTTTCAGTGGTTAACTTTTCAGAATAGATTTCCAGGCCTTTCCTCTGACGCACCCCTGGGTGAGTTAGAACCCTCAACCTTTCCATTGGCAGCCCAGCACTTGAACCATTTGCACCATCTAGAGACTCCAATAATCAAATAAATGCCATAAAACATAAGAAATGTTGCTTTTCACTATAAGATTTGCAGCAAGTCAAAGAGTTTGCAAGTGTGAGTAAACAAGTAGTCCCATATTCCATTGTAGAAATGTAGATCAGTACAACCACTCTGGAGAGCAAACTTAGTATTTATCCAATGTGTATACCCTTCCTACCTCTAATAATATCTTCCAGTGAGATACTGGTTAAGTACACAAAGGTTGGAGGCAGTGATGTGTTGGATCCAGCTCCCACTGCATAGAGTTGCCTATTGTATACATAGTTAACCAACTCTGCATTCATTGACAACTCGTTGGTAGCTTGAAATCAGCCATGTTGTTGTTGTTGTTATGTGCTGTGGAGTCAAACCCGACTCATAGCGACCCCTCCTTGGGTTTCCGAGGCAGTATCATTACGGAAGTAGGACTGCCCAACCTTCCTTCCGAGGATGGGAGTATTTGTACCACAGAAATCATCAGACTCTGCAAATCAGTGTTTTTTCTTTAGAAGAGCAAATTGTTAAACACTGATCACTGGTTAGTGGTTAAGGGGAGAACATTTTTCTCCCTTCCTGGTGTTTTCTTCCATGTGGAGGGAGCTACAGTAACTAACACTCCAGGCTCATTGCTCCAGCCAGCCACAGGGAAGGGGGACCGACTTTGAAAGAAGAGGTGGGCCTTCCTCTCTCCTCCCTCCCTGCAGTGAGATGCTGCAGGGAGCATGCTTTTTACCCTGCCCCAGGGAAGACCTCTGTCTCTATAGGGTGAGGCTTGTCCAAGTCCAATGCTGTCACAACTGGGTGTGTACCATTTGCCTAATTCCACAGTTGAGTTTGAGAAGGCCACTCATAGCAGATATAAGACACAATCTCAGCTATCATCTTAAGCAGTCACAAAAATGATGTTTTACCCCCAAAAAACTCTCTTATACCTTTATCTTATTTCTGAATTTGCTCCACATTCCATAGAAAGACATACAATAGGCTTTCTCAAATCCCCAAATGATGTCTCTCATAACAAGTTTTACAAGAGGGGAGATTTTAAAAAAAAAAACTATAAACAATCTTGATATCCATCACATTTGCACGAGGATTATCTGTCTATCCAAACAGGGGTCAGAGCAACTTAATTCCCTGGGAAGTGTATCCACTATGGAGCAAGAAAAAGAGGATTGGTCTCCCACAGAAGGAATTTGAATCACCTATTCATGGAATCAGGAGCTCTGGTAGCATAGTGCCTAAGGCACTTGACTGCTAACCAGGAGGCTGGCGGTTCAAACCCACCAGCCACTCCTCGGAAGAAAGGTTGGGCAATCCTACTTCCGTAGTGATAACTGCCTCAGAAACCCAAGGAGGGGTCGCTAGGAGTCAGGGCCGACTCGATGGCAAATAACAACAACAACAGCAATTCATGGAATCAGGAAGAGACTGCCTACCCAAGAACTAGCAACTTCAGGGAAAATGGGCAGTGAAGAAATTATATTGAAACCCATGGCCAAAACAAGCAATATTGTTAAATTCATGATGTGAGCATGAGGCAGGCAGAATCTTTAAGAATATCTGGAACCATCTCAGATACTTGGAGGATTGAATCTCTGCATGGTTAGAAGATAAATGAATAAAATTCCTCAAGAACCACCTTTTGCCACATCCTCACCCACAAGCTCTAGGAAAGGATTTGGACATGGGTAGGGCTGCAACTAGGAGCTCTGATAGAGCAGTGCCTAAGGCACTTGACTGCTAACCAGAAGGCTGGCAGTTCAAACCCACCAGCCACTCCTCAGAAGGAAGGTTGGGCAATCTACTTCCTTAGTGATACCACCTCGGAAACCCAAAGAGGGGTCGCTATGAGTTGGATCCGACTCAACAGCACGTAACAACAACAACAACAGGGCTGCAACTGATAGGATTAAGCTGTGGAGTAACAGAGGGCCTACAGGCAAGAGTCACCTGGAAGAGACTTTGAAGATCTCATCACTCTTCCAGTCACCCAGGCTTATAATTTATATGTCCTTTTTCATTTGAAACTCCCTTTCATCTCCCATATCCAGTCGGTCACCACATTGCATTCGTTTTACCTTTAAACCGTCTTTCCTACGTGTGCTCATTTCTCTCCATTCCTGCTGCCACCACCGTCTCACACTGTCAGCTGATGCCTGAATTGCCAAAGCCAGAATCTCTCAGTCTGCAGATGCTCCCACCCCATCCATCCTCCATGCCACAGCCTTAAACTCTCTCTCCCCAGATCACTGCACTGATTCAGAATAACTCAGGCATTCTTGAACTTCTCTGACCCATTTATTTTTTTCATTCATACCTTGCATTTTCCACACCAACTCATATAGAGCTGCATGGATAGCAAACTTTAATAAACGATAGCTATTATGACTCTTAGGAGCTCTGGTAGTATAGTGGCTAAGACACTTGCCTGCTACCCAGACGGTTGGTGGTTCAAACCCACCAGCCACTCCTCGGAAGGAAGGTTGGGCAATCCTACTTCCGTAGTGATACTGCCTCAGAAACCCAAGGAGGGGTCGTTATGAGTCAGGTTTGACTCGACGGCACATAACAACAACAACATTATAACTCTTGTGGATAGGACCAAAGGCACCACCACTGACTTTGCTGGGTTCTGTGCACTACACCACTGACTATACACATGCATTTTTCCATTGCTATATGTGGCTCAGACAATACCCAACTCATCAGAGGGTACACAGTCAATAAGTGACTGAGCCTAATGCAGTTCAGTCTGATTCTTTCCACTTTACCCATCTGACAAATGAACAATTTGCCATACTGTATGTAATTTTTCACCCCTAAGTGATCAAATGTATATAGAATGATAGTTATCTACAAGGATGAACTTTTAGTTGATAGTTTTATTAAGACCTTGGAATCATACAGACCAATTATTATGTTTATAGATGA